AAGTGTAATAAATATATTTTTTTATCATAAATTTATTTTAAAAAATAAAAATTAATCTTTAATTTATTAACTATTCAATTAAATTCATTCATTTAATATCTACATTAAAATTAATATTAATTTTTATATTTTTTAATATGTAGTTATGGTAAGAATGTGCTTTTAAGGATTAGAAAAACCCATTCACAAAAGGCTTCTTGTGTCAATGATACATCGAGCTTCCAATCAACTCGTTCAAAATTTAGTCAGTAACACCGAACATGGCTGGGTGCAAAGTAGAGCCACAAAAATTCCCAGGGGGATGGGAAAGAATATTGTATTTTTTACATTATACTCATAATGTATTGCATGATGAAATTCCTTGTATTTTTAACATGACTATTATTGCACGCATTACTAGTGTATGAAATTCCTTTGCATTTTTCACTTACATGGTACATCGAAGTAGTGATGACTTTGAGACACTTTCTCGACTCTAAATACATAAGCAAGTGGATTCAACAAACATAACAGGAAAACAAACCAAAGAAGGAATCGAATCGAGTCAATCATAATGGAAAACATCCACAGACACAACGAATACACACCAAAGACTACAAATTCTGAAGGATATAGCTTTGTTGTCATCTAAGAACCAAGATCAAACAGTCAATGTGATTAGCTGAATTTATATAAATATTAATGTTGAATTTTTACCTTTATATTATTAATATTTGGATGAATTTTATGAGATTTTACATGAGTTTTATTTTTTGTGCAGAAAAAGACTTGGATGCATAATAATAGGAGTTTTGGAATTAATTGAATGTATTTTGGAAGTTGAGGGACTGAACTGCAAGAAGAAAGAGGCTACTTCGAGACCTAAATGAGTGAATCTTAAGTTTTAGGATTTTAGTGCTAAGAGTACGAAATCTGGAGGATCAGATCTGCAATTTGACCATTGAAGAAATTGCAAAAAAGACGAAAAACCCGACACGGGTGTGGTGTCGACACATAATCAGGGTGTCGACACTATGCGGTACGCGTCAAGAATCACAGTTTCTGTTTCCTGTTCTGTGTTGATACGTAATTTGGGGTGTCGACACTAAGCATTCAGCATCCAAAATCCCAATTTCCTATTTTGTTTCGAGTCCTACTTCTCTTCTGATAGGGTTTCTTAAACTTTATAAATACCCATTCAAAAATCAGTTCTGGGGCTTTGGAGAGGAGACCAAGAGAGACAGCTAAGAGGAATTCAACAACAAAAGAAGATCAAGTCTTGAGATTTTATATCGTCAAACTGATTTTACTTGTTTTTGAATTTTATTTTATGATGTTGGATTCTCATATATTCATCATGGGATTATTGATTTTTTTTTCTTTAATTATGAACTGATTTAGCCATTTAAGGCTACGATGTAACCTAATCAATTTAATATAGTTTTATGATTTTTATACTTTTAAGGTTTATTATTTTATGTAGAATATATATTATTGTTTTTAATGCTTTTTAATGATTGGCCACCATTAAAACTGATTTGGAGAGCATAATTGAGACCGAAATGAGATTTTATGCAATAGTTTCTAGTAATATATACCATGAATTGAACAAAAGCCAGAGATGGACCAACGTGATTTGTGCAGCATTAATGATAAGTGGACTTAATTTCCATGTAAACTAAGAAATTTCACATAATATAATGTATTTTTATCTATTTAAATTCACATAGAGATATAGTGGGTTAATAGGTGAAGATAAGTTTGGTATAACTTGAGAAAAACAAGTCCATGTTGGATTTCTACACCATTATGCAATTTCTTGAATGGTAAAATAACAATACTAGTCCCTCAGCTTCTATTTTGCATCTCTTTTTAAAGTTAGTTGGATTCTTTAATAGATTAGGATGTCCAATCCCAATTAACTCCTTTGCCCTAAAATTCCAAACCAATTTTTATTTTTATTTTATCTCCTTTTAAATTGGTTAACTTAAATAAAATGACAAGATGTTAAACAATGGAAAAACATGATAACATAAGCCCACAAGTCCCAAAAGACTTGACTAGCTCCATATTACATAATCACTCATAGAGATTATTTTAAACCCTTGAGAAACATAGAGGGATTAAATACCAACTGTTTTACATTTGGAGATTATGCCTTACTTGCATAGACAATGTCAATTCCTACCACATAGGCAATAACATATCAATACTTTATCCATATAAATAAGACATAAATGAGTATTAAGTTTATCATAAAGAAAAAAGGGTTATATTGCCTATATTATCAAGTTTAGAAACTTATTTGCTTCAATAGAAGTTTAAAATTTAATCAAGAATCTGAGATGAGATAAGTTCAAGAGTTTAATGTATAGTTTCACCTACAATAAAAGTAATCTTTTGCAAGTTCCAATATTTTTCATTGAGTTAACATAACTCTATTAACATTTTGTCTCACTGATTAATTTTAATTTAAGCTTTTTACTTCTTTCATCAATTCAAACCTTCTCTCCACCTCTAGGAACTCTCAAAATGAAGCTGGCTTCATGTTGTCATCCTTGCATAGCCAACACCACCTTCACTTTTGAGCTGACACAACTTTGCCCCAAACATGGCAGTCGCCAATCCTTGCTTCTTAGGCTTTGTCCTCCTTGCTGACGCAAGGGTTGTGCCGTTTCTGTCATGGTGTTGGACAAAAGTTTAAAAAGTAATGCCAAGAAACTGACCCTATTAATGTACCCAATCTATAAGCTTTTTTCTTGCTTATCGCCAACATACCTAGTCTTTAAAACTCAAATTCAAGCAAACCAAAATCAATAAGTGTTGGGTGGTGGCCCAACATTGACCTAAGGCCAATCATTAGGCCTAAGAACACAATAAAAGTCCAAACATCAAGCACGAGTAGTGAAGGACTTATTTGCGTGACTAGTAGCACATGGACCAATAAGGTAATGACACATGGTGGTGGTGTCATAAATGAGGCTACAAGTACCCCTCTCCTACCTTCATCAAAGGTAATAATTCCATTATGCTTCTCTCTTTGCAATATCTAGTTTTATAAGAGCTTCTCTCCAAAACAAGTGATTATTGCTAACTTGATCATCGTAGTGTGTTCTCAAGGACACTTCCTTGGGTTTTTTAGGTACCAGAGCAATTCAAGTAATCATAGAAGTTCAGAGCTCATGAAGCAACCAAAACAATTAGCACTATCTGTGGAAAACCTGAAACAAAACAGCTATATAGTTCTACGAATTGAAGGCAATCATGATACGAACTTTTGCATGAGACCAACCACCTCAAACAAACCAGATGAAGGATTAGGGCAATGCCCAATTTCTCAAGAATAAACCTAGAGAATACATGAAAATGCCTAAGAATTTGTTTGTAGGAGGAACTAAAGAAGTATAGAACAACAACTTTGATGAGGAACGAACTTTAACATGATATGTTACATAGCTTGAAGTACATGAACTTAGAGCCTCTAGAGGCATTTGATCGAATACGTACCCAGCTTGCACATCATTGTAGCTTTAGGCTCCCATACCAACAACACAAAATCCCAAACAAGAAGAAAAAATAAGGATCCTATAGGTGGTCTTAGAAAAGATCTTATCACACCTTATTCTTGGAAACCCATTGATTCCTTTGCTAAATCGTAATGAGCAACTAGCCAATGCACTAACTTTAAGTAATGTTGTCATACCAATAAGACTTAGAGGAAGTGAGCAACCTAAAATTGAGCCAAAATCTTCTAAGTTGAATAAGGAGTTGCTGAAAAAGCATGCCGAGCTATAAAACTCAAAGAGATACAGAAGTCTATTGACGAATTGAAGAACCCTAGATCACAACTTCAAGCCCTAGATCTAAATAATGTCCTTTTCAGCTTGTTTATCACATTACAGCCATATCAAGAGAGATTTAAGACATATGACAGTTTAAGAGACCCAAATGGGCATTTACACTTTTATCCAGTGTTTTGAAAATTGACTTAGAAGTCAAACCGTTTTGACTTCAGTTCTCGGTTTGATCGATTTAACTAGTTAAATTATTTAAACCATTAGTTCAATTGAATATGAATAAATATAATATTATGCAATAGTTTAACACATCACATGCATTGGTTCTATTGGTTTGTTACCTTCTCTTATTATGGAGAAAATGCAAGTTCGAGTCTTGGCTGTGCTAAAATATAATTATAATGTTTTTTACTTTTAACTTATAATATATTAATGAATTTTTTCACATGTAAAATGTACAATAAATGAAATTTTTTAATTAATTTATATAAAAAATTATAAAGTTTGACTTAAATGAATTAATTAATCAATTAAAATCATCTATATAAACATCAATTAAAATCATATATTATAATTAATATATTTTTCTAATAATTTATATAAAAAATTATAAAGTTTGACTTAAATGAATTAATTAATCAATTAAAATCATCTATATAAACATCAATTAAAATCATATATTATAATTAATATATTTTTCTAATAATTTATATAAAAAATTATAAAAGTTGATTTTAAATTAATTAATTAACAAATTAAAATTATCTACATATTAATACTAGTGGAAAGAATGATGCCGCTGGTATTGGTGTTGATGTCGATGCTGGAGAACAGGTAAAAGAACAAAAATGGCAGAAAGGGATGGGGGTTGAAGATAAGGGGAGGATTAATATTGTAATTGTATATTTTCTTTTATTACATTTATTAAAATTACCAATTCATCATTTTTTTTCCACATAATTTTTTTGAAATAAAAAAATTAATTCATGGTGAATTAACGCCAGCTGGGCACTTTCGTGACAGAAGGACCATTTGGATTCTAAAAAAATAAAGTTTAAGGATGGTTTGGGTGCTTTCTAAAGTTAAAGGACGAACTAAGTTTCGAAATGAAAGTTCAGGGATCAAATTGGGTATTAAACCAAAAGAAAATTCTGTTTAGAACTTGCGGTCCCACAGCTATGGACTCATCTCCCTTCCTGTTGTTTACAACTTGCGGTCCCATCGCATACCAATACTATCAAATTAAAAGAAAATTATGTTTACAACTTTATGTTTACAACTTGCGGTCCCACCGCATACCAATTCTAGCAAATTAAAAAATTAAAAATCAGAGATGAAGACTTCCACAAGGCTGTGATCTCGCATATCAATCATGGTTATTAATATTATATTGTATCAATCAGTGTGGTCGTATGTATTAATTTTTGTATTAAATCAAAATGATACATAATTTAATTTTGTTTTGATGAAATTTTGATTGTTTCGGTCAAATTTTGGTATGTCGATCAGTATTTCAGCATATTGATAGGTACACAAAAATTATCTGATACAACTTAATTCAAATTTAAAAAGGATAAATTTTATTTTTGTCTTCAACTTTAATATTTTATTTAATTTTTATCTTTTAATTTTTTTATATAGTTTTTTAATCCATTCATTTTTTTTTAGTCTTTCTATTAATTCTCCGTTAAGCTCATCTAAATATACATATTTTTAGTCCCTTAATAAAAAGTGGATGGACGAAAAATACGAATATATTAAAAATTGAAGGACTAAAAATGATTATTTTAAATTTATTTTCAATTTATAAAAATATAATGATTTTAAATATTAATATCTCTTATTTTATTTTAAAATTTGATATTTAATTTATAAAAATATATATATATTTATAACGA